ATAATTACTCCTTATATCTTTAGCAATTAAATAAAACATTTAATAATTTCTTTTTCTTATAACTATAATTTTTTTTTGGATTTAATATGTAATAAATCGGTACCCACTTAACACAAAGAATATTAGTTAATATTTTAGTTTATATTATTATACTATTAGAGGTTTTTGTGTTATAAAGGTTTTGAAGTTTATAATCTTATTAACAGTGTTGGTCACTGATCAATTGTATTTGGGGGTTTTGGGTTATGCTAAGGCCCCTATGCACTGTGACCAGTTTGATCTATTGTGCATCACTTTTTAATTTAGATATTTAATATATCGAGGAATGGAACCAGCTCCTTTGAAGGTAGTTTCCAAAGGACTTCATCCTCTAATTGGTATGTACCTAAAATTTTATTTCTTCTGTGGCCTAGTGCATTACAGTTGGTGATCAGATGATCCATAGACTCTTCCTCATCACAGCAAATATTAACAGTGCTACTTTAAGGTAAGAAAAGAACACTGTGAGTATTGTTACATGAACGTCTTATGTCCAAGTTTAATACAGATCCACTATCATATGAAGACTACTTAGTATATATATACATTTTAACTAATATTTTAAAATAACAAATTGGAATATTCAATATTATATATTCAATCTGCTCAAATTGTCAAAAATCATAATTTTTATCAAAAATTAAACATATTTGTTCATTTTATTCTCTTTTTAATTTGCAGGAAGGTGTAATTGATTATACTATTGTGTACATCTACTATCTACATCTACAAAAAATACTACAATAGACTATTCTTTAATATACATCTATTTTGTTAAAAGGCTTGGAGATATTTAGCTTGCTAAGTACTCTTCCGTCTATCATTAATTACTAGCATAAGATTTCGTTCATTGACTTTATATGGACCAATGGCTGTTATCTATTCACTATTCATTACAAAGCTGGCTTGCAAGAGGCATTAAAGTTTCACAAGGAGACTTTTGATGCGTTCTATCAATCATAAACAAACTGTACTATTGCATTTATGTCCCGCTGCAGGTCCTTAGTGCACGGTTATTTCTTGAGAAACAATACGAACAACATTGTTTGAAGATTTCATTGAAAATATATTATTAATTGTTATTCTATTTAAAATTTAAATACACAACTAATTCGATATGTCTACAAAATAAATCTTAAATCATTTTAATTTTTTTATTTCTTTAAATTTTGATTCAGACGTTTAAAATTCAAATTCAGTCTGTACATTGTACATGTGCGTGATTTTAAACAAGTTTGATGGCAATAAAAATTTAAACACGAGATTTGAGATACTTTATTTGCAAATAAAAATAAAAATAAAAATAAAAATATTAACAGTTTGTATATATATATAAAAAATAAATTATAATAAAGTAGAAGATACTAAATGCAAAAAATTTTGTTCGTTAGCCCTTCGTAATTCAAGAAAACTTAACGATAATTTTCAACAAACCGTTTACATGCAAATTGAATTTAATTAACCTTTTTAAATAGATTCCATTTGTATCTCAAACTATATAAAACTTCATTAGGATTAACAGTTAATAAACCATAAGAAAAACGATATTACAAACCTCATTTGTCGAAAAAAATGTCGTTGTTTCTAATTAGGCGCGTGAAACAATCCTAAACCTGCTCTGTAATTAACACAAATTCTTCAAAGATTTAAAAATTGATGAAAAAACAACGCAAAAACTTCATTAAATGTCTGTTAACAATAAATTTGCAGACTTATTATAATTAATTTATTAATAAAACTTAGCAAAATGAATTATTTAAATAGTCTGCACAACTCATCGAACATTTATTGCGTCAAAAACTTCAGACTTACCAATTAGTAATTATCAATCAGATAAAGATTTTAAAGAAGTTTTTCTATTAATAAAACCAAACTACGATCATTGGCTTTTTTTCGGTTGCACCAGCAGAAACGCTAAAATATAAAAAAATGCCAACAGCAATAAAAAATCGACGGAATTGCTTAGCGTCACAAGAGAGAATATCTATAAGACCGTGACTTGCCTAAAGTCGTGGTTACTGGTTATTTGGCAGATAAGCTTTCAGGAAAGGAATCTTCCCTTTTTATGAGTACTGTAATGTAGAAATTGTACTGTACTGACGAAAAAGCACAATTCTTCTGTAGTGGGTAGCTCCAAGCTGGAAGCAGAGCTAGGTACTTAGGATATTATGCTCTCAGCTCTCTCAAGCATGTATTGGTTCTAAAATTAATAGCAGTTAATGTCCCGTTTTAATCAGTGGTAGGCATTCAAAAGGTCTTAATAAGTTAGTCAACTAGATTGACAAGCTTTTTACAAAAAATTCGATAGAAAATCTTTGTAAAAGACGAAGATGTAAAAAGGCATCTTCGTACTTCTGATCATTCTGTAATGAAATGAAATATTACCTTAAAACGTTCCTTTATTATTGAAAAACATACAAATTAGAAAATATGTATAATCAGAAGCACCAAACTTACAGTACAATTAACTTCTAGTATCTGCTTCAACAGTAGATAGTTATTCTGTAAGAGTAATGGGTTTTGTATAATAAAGCAAATCATTTAATTTCGTTTTAAATAATAATCGTTTTAAAAATTTTTTTAAATTCGTGCTAACAGGATTGCGTGCAATATTTTTCAATTACTTTATTTAAAATTATATAATAGCTACATCAGTGGTTTGAAATTAGATCTACTCTTCTTATTTGTTGGCACCCTATAGCCTACATGACACTACTAAATACATATATAAATGTTTGTTCTGTAGTGAACACTTCTATAAAACACTAAGAAATTGGTTTCATTTTTAATCGTCAATATTTTTTCACTTAAATCCTTGTAGAGTAAAGTCATAAATATCAAATAATTTTCAAATATTAATTATTTATATATAGCATAATAATATAAAATAAAAATATTATCTTCCATATGCAAAGCTGACTGTAGAGGATAATTTCAGTTTTAAATTGGTTTGAGATTTTTCGACTTAAACAATTTAAAATAATGTTTGCATGGTCAAATTCATGGGCCAAACATTGTGGTTAAATTAATAAATAAATGCTTATATGACAAAAAATTTAAAGGGGCTTGTTGATTTTATTGCTAATTTAATAAATTTGAATATTGCTAGTGCCTCAGTAACGTGATGGGGTTAATCTATGACAACTTAACCATAATTGAGGACAATATTGTATTATATCAAAATTCGCGAAATTTAAAAAAAAAGTTTTTGTATTACTGATCCGACTTTAAAAAAAATATCTTTAAAATTGTTTTTATACTACTTTATTTTCAGGTTTTTTTTCAACTAACTTAAACTATAAAATCAACCTTGAATTATAATTATAATATTTTTCAAATATTTAAACGATTGTAAATATACTTATTAAATATAATTAATTTTAATTCCTAAATAATATCTTAATTTAATAATGTATTATATAGTTATTTTTTTTACTGATTCCAGTTATCAATTTCTTGATATAAAATGCTATATCAAGTAATGACATAATTTATTTGTGTCGGACGTAATTGATTTTGTGTAAACATAATTAATATGTAAATAGAACGAAGTTTAAAAGAACAAAAACAATATTTTACGCTTTGTTATACACTTAAATAATAAATCAAAAGACAATACACTCTTGAACACATATTTAATAAAACAGTACTATTTTAATTCATTATAATAAGTCAAATTCATAATACCAATTCAAGCAACTAATAAATTGAAGGAAATAATTGAGAATTTTATATAAAACAAAAAAAAAACATTTTCTTTTTTATTTTAAAAAAAAAACATTTTTATTTTAATTTTTTGTTTTATTAATCTAAAAATTTATAAAAAAAAAAACTTCGTATAATTTATTATAGCCGTAATTTTTTCTTTCAGAGTTGAAAAAAAATACTCGCATCTTACGAAAGAAAGCACGTGAATCAACAATAATACTCTTAAAATCTTCAGAGTTAGGTTTTCTTTACAAAAAATTTTACGTCTGAAGTTTTGGTGCAGCCAAACTCAAAAATCACTCTATTGTGAATATTCACTGGAAATATATTGCAAAATTCTATTTATTTGTTAAAATCATATGAGCAGAAATAATAACAAATTGCAATATATCAAAACAAAAAGATAAAAAATGCTTATCATTGTTTTTCTATTATTTTAATTGTTTTCTTTTATTTAAATTAATTAATTTTTAGTGTTTATAATTTTTATATTTCATACTGTACACAACACAAGAAAAAATAGATATCAAAAAAGTATTTAACATATTTTAAATGTGATGCCAATTTGTTTCAACCAGACTAACGCTGTTTTTCACAACTCTGAATGAAAAAATTACAGGCTATGTTTAAGCTCATTTATTAGATTTCCTAAATACTTCCTTAAATTTATCATATATATCTAATTTAATTGGAGTTACAAAATATCAAAACACGTTGTTGTAATAATCATATACTCGACTCATTTTTGATTCTCATAAACTTTTCATTTTTAGTTATTTATCAAACAGATCTACAATTTCTAGCTGTAGGCATCAGCTACTTATTTTTCTGATTTAAGTACTCAAGATAGAGATAGATAGATCAAGATAGAGACGTTTCGAACAGTATTGTTTTTCAACAACAACATTTTTATTTATTTCTAATTATTTGAATTTTTAGCTGTTTCAAACTGTTGCAAGTAATAAATACAATAGTTTCTGTTAAGTAAAATAATGACTTGCATCACAACTAATTTTAAAATCAAATTGTAAATTGTTAGAATGATATTTTAAAGCAAAAATATATTGCACCTTTATTATTTAATTACTTCTTTAAATTAGAACTTTAAATTAAATTAGAATTACATTTGCACAATTAGAACTAATTGTTTAAATTACAACACAGTTTTCATTGCGATCTGGTAGCGCTTTGAGATATGTTTTCTTCTTTTGCTTTTTACGTTTAACAACACTTTTATTACATGTTGCTAAAAACATGTGTAAACCCGGCGCTTGATTTAATTTTTTGCAATGCAAACAAATACAAAATATATAAATATTTTTTATTATATTTTTTAAAAACAAATGGAGCATTGCAAAGAATTCGACGATATTAAGGCAGTGTTAACTTACTGCAATAATAATGTACAAAAATATGTCAACCTTGGTTTTCGAAGTGGTAAGAATTCAATATAAAGTTAATTAGAATATAATATTAAGTATTTTCAATTTAATAATAAAGGTAATGACAGAATTGTGAACGAAATTAGTAAACGCATACAGGATGTACTTCTCGAAAAACATCACTTATCGAAAGCCTTGGAGCCATTACCAAAGTCTTATACTGTCCTACGTAAAGTACTATTGTTTTTGGTGCTTAATTCAGATATCCCACGTAAATCTGAGTGTGACGTATTTAAAAATTTAGCACATGTAAGTGATTTGTGCCCATTATTGCCGAAATTTTTGTTAATAGCTATAATATGGGAACTAAAATTGGATAACTTTCTTTACGAATTAATTTCGTACACTCCTTGTTGGTTTACGTATCCATTAATAGAAATTATTTTAGAGTCATTAAGGTACATTGATGATGTGTGTGAAGTATTGGAAAAAGGTGAACATGTCATACGTGCAATGTACAATAGTCTTACCAATACAATAAATTATGCATGTGACCAGAAGGCTACAGTGAAAATAAATAGTCAGTTTTACGAATTAATAACAAGAATACTACAAAGAATTTTTAGCCCACCAGACAATGAAAATATAAAACGGAAAAAAGCTAATGCCCGTAAATCAGGATATTTAGTTAAGCACATAATAAATTTAATCAGTTTTGCTTACA